GAAAGTGAGACAACAAACACAAGCAGAGGGCGTGTTGTCGGAAACCTTGCCAATAATGGTTGCTGCGGTCACCGGCATCGGAAAAGTGATGGATCAAGCCGAGGATGTCCAGTTCCCCACTGCAGATCAGAGATCGAGCATCATGCGCCGTGAGCCCACACATCCGCCCTAAAGCCTGGGCGTGGCCGAAGCGGAGCTGGGGCAAGATCACTTCAGAGCATTCAGACTCCATCAAAACCCGAAAATCTTCGAAAGTGGGACATACCTTTTGGCCGCCGAAGCTAAAGACGTGCGTCACTGGGTTCCAGAACCTTGCCGCGGCGTGGAGGAAAGGAAGGTGCAACCGAGTGCGGCTCAGCGTGAATAGTGCATTCAAGCCGAAACCCCGGAAGTTCAGCTTTTCCGAGCCGTCTAGAGAAGAGATCCAAGATGTGAGATTTTCTGTAAGAAACGCCTCCATTTCTTGTGCAAAGTAGTGATGAAATGAATGTTCCCGAAGTTGAGGCTTTTATAGAGGGAAAAACACTATTCAGGAGGACACGTGTCAAAAATTGGGTGGCTGCAGGGGTAAGTGGCCGGCCGGACATTCTCTTCTTCAAAACTAGCCGGCCATCCTCTCCCTCTCCATAAAACTGGTCGGCCGGCTCCCTAAGGTGCCCAGCCATGCTCCAGTGTATCTCCTTGGCCCTGTTTTACCCTCCGGGGGAAAGTTTCGAGCATTTCCATGCAACGGGAGAGTCAAAGGCCTTCATTTCCCTCTATTTCGGATGCGTTTCGGTGCCCAGATCGTCCGAAGTACACTTTGTTGTTGCTGAGTTTTGTTTATCGAGTTGTTGTTTTGATTATCGAGTTGTAAACTTGCTAGGGTTCTGTTATATCTTAGTAAGTTGAGTTGCTTAGTTTGTTGCGTCGGTTCACTACCTGACTTGGTGATTACACAATGCACATTCCCATTCAATTTCATTTTTGTGCAAAATAAAATGATGCGATACGATGCTAAAAGTTTAAAATATAAACACCTTTTCAAAAGCTGTTTCATTCCATCATGCTTTACAATGAATAAAGGTACAAGTTTTACGAAAAATAAAACTACCTAATAATGTGCAAAGTGCTACAAACTACTAGCAAAAAGAAAAATAAAGCAGGAAACAACAGCATCAATGCCCTCGGGAGCGGGAATGAGAAGCACTCCTCATCCTCTTCTGCGGGACAACCTCTGCACCATCATCATCATCCAGGTCGAAGCTGTCGTCCTCAGGATCCCCCCCAGCCTCGCCTCTGCTCCCCGAACCAAGACCGGAGCCTCCCTCCTCAGCAGATGTCTCTGATTGGCGGTTGGTAACCTCCTCCTCCTCCTCCTCCTCCTCGGGCTCCGCCTCTACAACGTGTGCCCTGCGTCTGCGGGAGGACCCTCCTCGAGCTCCTCGGAAAGGCCTGGATGGCCCAGCTCCCTGAGAAGGCCCAGATGGCCCAGCTCCCTGAGAAGGCCCAGATGGCCCAGCTCCCCAAGAAGGCCCAGGTGGCCCGGCCCGCGGCGGAGCATATACAGGAGGCATTTGAAAATGAAAAGTTCAATACATCAGTTCAAATATGAAAATCAGATACGAGTACAATATATGAGTGGGGTGTGTGTCGGATGTGCTCCACAATGCAGAAGAATGTTCAAAACCAGTGTGTCATCAGAAGTGTGATAAATACAAGAAAGATGAACGGTACCTGCACACCCATAACGGATAGGTGTGTCTCTCTCCGAAGGACCATGCCCTCAAGTGCGGCCATCACCCCGAGCATCTCGTCCACATACTCAACCGGAGGCTGCAGATACAAAGGCAAAACTATCAGTAAAGGAATGAATGTCCAAGTACCCGACTGATAAATCAAAGCTATAAATCATACCGGTGGTGAATCAGGATCCCTGACATATCTTTGGTCAGGAAGTGGAGGCTCTAGCGAAATCGGGTAAGGAGTCCCAAAACGCCATCCCGTCAACTCGGACGGCATGTCCGGCCATCCAGGATGAGGATAAGTCGGAGGAATCGGAGGAACCGATCTACCCCCACCTCTCGATGTAGCAGCCCTACTAGTAGAAGGGGCGTCTGCAGCCCGAGCCCGGGCCTGGCTCGAAGATGACGTACCAGCAGACCTCGTCATCGGGGTGCGAACCCCCGTCAGTGGAGGCATCAAATATGTATGACGGTAAGTGGCGTAGTCCCCCTCCTCGAGGTACAGCAAAGCATCACTACCCAGCATAGCACCGACTACATCCTGGTGGGAGAACCTATCAGCAGTCCGCATACTGACTGGGGGTGCTGCGGGGGGGTCCTGAGAAGTATACCCCCATACCTGACGCAGAAAGCGTTCCCCCAGAAACCATGCTCTACCAATAGGTCCTTCGAGCAGGAGCCTGTACTGGGAGGTGCCCGATCCTCCGGGATATTGAAATCGGAGACCATCACCTAAGAGCACCCAGGGCTGCCATGTAATTTGCGGATAACAAGTCCATAAACCAATCAGAAATCGGGAATATGCATAACAAATCAAAGATAAAAATGGAAGGGACTGAGAGTTCTGAAGTACCTCCGATGGCCGCACAGTGTCAAAGTACTGCCGTAGATAAAGGAGAGTCTCTCGGGGTCTCGGCCGGTGCGGGCCCTCAAATACCAGTTAATACGGGGTCATGAGAAGCCCTGTCACCTCAAGCTCTGGGGCTAATACCGGGAAGTATACGTAGACCCATAGCTGAGAAAAGCAGTGCAGAATGTAAGTACAAAGTGCTGAGGGCAAAATACAGACTGTAAAGTGCGCTGTGTGTGCAATATACAAGTAATGAGGAGCAAAAATGTAAATCAAGAGGACGGAAAGTACCTCCCAGGCTCTCCAGTAGCCGCCAAGTAAATCTCCCTGCCCGCGGGAGGTGGCACTCATATAGCAGGAAAGGGTAGCCAGGCCGGCACCACCCCAGTCGTATCGACTGACCTGTGATAGGTCAACCAGAGCGCTCAACAGATATCGCCCAACCGTGTTCCCTCTATCGGCGAACAGAGTAGTCCCGAAGAGGAACATCAGGAAACCACGGGCATACTGCTCTGTCTCCTCAGGGGTCTCGGGCTCCATCTCCGCCCGCCGGAAGTGAGAAGAGAACCAAGTGTATCGAACTCTCCCGGAGGCTCTGTCGACAGGCGGGCGAGCTCCCAGCAGATATATCCAAGCGGCCTCCCACTCGCCCATGTCCTTGTCATAAGGGATGGACCAACCTCCTATGTCCAGGCCGGTCAATACCGCAAAATCCAGAGGGGTCATAGTCATGTCCCCAGTGGCAGAGAAATGAAAGGAGTTGGTGGTGTCCCACCATCTCTCCACCAAGGCCGCCATCAGTGTCATCCTGGCAGGACAACGTGACAATCCAATGCAGAAGGCCCCGAACCCTGCCAGATCTACTAAATCCCGGACAGCCTCCGGGAGCTCAACGTACTAATCCCTTGCAGCGGTGGAGCCATATCCCCGTACACCGCGAGAACCAACCTGCATTCAGAATGAATACATGTGTCAGTATAAAATGAATGAGCTGTGTGCCAATGAAATGAATGAGCTGTGTGCCAATGAAATGAATGAGCTGTGTGCCAATGAAATGAATGAGCTGTGTGCCAATGAAATGAATGAGCTGTGTGCCAATGAAATGAATGAGCTGTGTGCCAATGAAATGAATGAGCTGTGTGCCAATGAAATGAATGAGCTGTGTGCCAATGAAATGAATGAGCTGTGTGCCAATGAAATGAATGAGCTGTGTGCCAATGAAATGAATGAGTTAATCAGTGTGGGCTGCGTGTTCACTATCAATCTGGGCTGCGTGTTCAGGAAATTAAAGTTTGGGTTGCGTGTTCAACTTTCAATCAGTGTAGGCTGCGTGTTCACTATCGATCTGGGCTGCATGTTCAAGAAATTAAAGTTTGGGCTGCGTGTTCAACTTTTAATCAGTGTGGGCTGCGTGTTCACTATCAATCTGGGCTGCGTGTTCAGGAAAGTAAAGTTTGGGCTGTGTGTTCAACTTTCAACTAGTGTGGGCTGCGTGTTCACTATCAATCTGGGCTGCGTGTTTAGGAAAGTAAAGTTTGGGCTGCGTGTTCAACTCTCAATTAGTGTGGGCTGCGTGTTCACTATCAATCTGGGCTGCGTGTTCAGAAAATCGGAGTTTAGGCTGTGTGTTCTACTCTAAGTCAGTGAGTGCTATATGTTCACCATTTAATTCGGGCTGTGTGTTCAACAAATCAATGTGTGAGCCGTGTGTTCATTTCTTAACTAATGTGTGCTGGGCGCTCGCAATCAATTAATGAGCCGAGTGTTCAGAAATTCAAGTGCTTAAGCTACATATTCAGGATGCAAACAAAGTACTATGTCATAAGCTAAACTGTGTGTTCAAGCATGGCAAAAACACGAAATTCACGAAAAATGCGAAAAATGAAGTAAATACCTCTCGTGCCTCGTAGGAGAGGTGATGCTCTGGCTCCCGCAGGAGTAGATCTCCAGGTGCTCGCTCATCAAAATCAGTGAAATGACGAAAAACGGCCCGAGGGAGAACATGTGCCGGCGGAGCGTACCTCCCGGGAATAAAGGGGCGGACCCTCGGGGGCAAAGTCATGGCATCAAAATCATCCCCAGCACCTGGAAAACCTCCACCATGAGGAGAGTTACCCGCCATTTTCAGAAAATCTGCAAAAGGAGCGAAAATGAGCGAAAATGAGCCAAAATTGGAAAAAAGTCAACAAAAGTCAACTCTTGGGAAATGAAAAAGTCAACAAAAGTCAACTCCCGAGAAAATCTTCCAAATATTGAGACAAACTCACCTTAAGTGGCGAAAATGGGAAAAGAAGCGCCGAAACCAAAATTTAATCAGTTCAACGCGCTTGAAACTGAATATTTTCGCGAAAACAACTTGCGTGGGGCCTTGAAAAACGCATATGGAACTCAGATCTGAGGGAGAAAATGGTGTAGGAAGCAAGAGAAGAAGATTTCGTGGCTGCATTTATAGGCTCAAAGTGTTTAGGTGAGAGAGCATAAAGAAAAGGAGGTGAAAAGACCAAATTAGCCTCGGATTTGGGCAGGTGGCCGGCCGGCCACCTTTTCCGGTCGGCCAGCCATTCTCTTTATGGGAAACTAGCCGGCCACCTTCCCCCTTCCATAAAACCAGCCGGCCATGTCCCCCACAGGCTCATCTAGCTCTCTGCAAATTTTGAGGAAGATTGGAGTTCCCGGGACCTGAAAAAGTTCAAGAAAAGTGCACTTTCTGTCCCGAAATTGCTCCGCCGGAACTTCAGCTCCAAGTTCTGACATGTGTCTCATCATCATTCATCGAAATCAAGATGTATCCTTTTTGAATGTGTTGTAGCCTTTCCAGGAAGTGGATTGGAGGCCGTGATCGAGTCGCCTTCGCCGAAACACGCGTTCCTTGCTCGTTTATTTCGTAACAAACGAGCGCCTTGATTTATGCTCATTTTGCACTATCATGCGCATAACTTACATTCTCATGAGCATACTTGCATTGTTTTGCACATCTCTTGATATCGCCATACCTCTGTGCTTGAGCACGCGTTGTCATGCGCGTTCCTTTCTCGAATCGCGATGCATTCACTCGCCGGCACTGCGTGTGTCGAATTTTCGGAATTACATTTGAATATATGTTGTTAGCATATTGTGCTTGTTGAATTTCTCTCTTTTTTCAGGCACGATATTGTATGTACGGTTCATTTGAGGTTGGTGCAACCAGACGAATCGCACAGGTATCGTATCTTCTCCGTGTGAGACGCGACGAGAATTGAATAATTCTCCGCATTCTTAACTGCATGAAATGTAGTTGTTGCTTTGCATTCTTGCTTAAAACTGTTGCATCTATTTGCGAATACTTGCTTCATTACAGCTTGCTGCATGGGTTGCGTGTTCAACTTTCAATCAGTGTGGGCTGCGCG